TCTCTCACTAGCAGCTGAAGTTGCTTGAATAGCAAGATACTTTCTTGCAATTTGAGAAAGAATAGAAAAATTTTTTTAATTGCTTTTTCATCATATTAGAGCATTTTGATCTTTAGAGATTTCTTGTAATATCAAATATCTATCGACTTCATTAATGTCAGAACTATAAGAATTGAACAAACTTTTATCATATAATTTTGTCCTTAATCTTTTTTGTGAGAACTCTCTTTCAGATAAGTTTGTTGTTTTATGTTTGGAATTTTCTTCTTTATATAAGTGGCACAATTCATTAATTGCTTCATTTTTTTTTAATTCAGTTGTAAATAACATATTTTTCCAACGTAGATCCAAAAGCAAAGCAACAAGAATATCAAGCTCCAAATCATCATCATCATCATAATAATCATTCATTGCATGATAAAGTTTGCTTTTAATCATATCAATTAATCCAAATATATTACTGGCTTATTAATTTTGATCTTTTGTTTTACCTTTGGTTCATCATCTTTTGCATCATCTTCAATTTGTAATTCATCAAAAGCATCCTCCAAGTTATTTTTATCATTACTATTATTTTTATCTATAGGTACAAAAAAAAAAGTTTTGATTTAATTTTTTGTATTGCAGGGTATATATAACTTATTGTCGAATATTGGCTTCCTTCTAGCCTTTCGATGATTTCAGCAAATAGGTTAAGAATTGGCATAACTTCATTGATAAAAGACCATTTTTCAGAAGTTAGATTAATTTTTTTTAACTGCTTTCTATCTTTTTTTGTTTCTGCATCAGCATTTGTTATATTCATAGTTGTAGAAAGAATCTTGATAAATAGTTTTAAAATTAACAAATGACCTTATGCATTAAAAGTACTTGACTATCTTGTTTCACAGTCGGTAAGCATATGATAAAAAACTAATTGTGATTTATTTATTGACTCCTTCTCAACATCTGTACTTACGGCATATTGTTTTTGAACATTAATTAATCTCTCATTTTGTTTAGGACAAGTAAAAAAACTAATTAGTCTTTTTGCTCTTGCAATTAAAACTTTGGCTAACAATATTTCTTTTCCAACTACCAACTGAATAGTATATGCTGTACATGAGACTCTTTTAATCTAAGAAATCTGATTAAGTGCTTTCTTCATGTTACTGCTATTGTCTGTAGTACAGTAAAATATTTTATCTTTTAAGTTCTATGCATTAATAATTGTTTCTAGAGCTTCTTAAATATGATTACCAGAATGAGGATATGGGAGATGTTTAATTGCCAAAGTAACTTCTTTTAGCTCAAAATTTGATATAATAAAATGTGCAGTAACTGAAAAAAACTCATCTTGAAACAAAAGGTCCACAAATTACATATAAGTGATATCCAACTTGCTTCACGCTTTAATAATTTTGAACTTTTTAAACTTACATAAGTTTTAGATTCAAAAATCTTATTTTGAAATCTTTTATGATTAGGAATATTAAAGA